TATTGTTCTAAGGTCCTGAAGTCATTCCAATTGATCACAAAGCTCTTGAGGTAAAAAGTTTCCATTTTGCAAAATCACTTAAATAATCTATCTATTATTCTTCTAATACAATCTGTTTTTGAACTTGTAGTTATCATCAAGGAGAGAAAAGGCAATAAACAATCAGGAATACATATTTGTACTCTCAGGCTCATTTTTGTTTCTCAATCATTTGTTTTTCTGATATACTTTGTTCTATTTATGCACTTTGCGAAGCCTGAAGAATTCATTTGAGGTCTAATTTCATAAACTGGTATTATACTAACAAACTTTATCTTCAGTAAGAATTCATTTATTCCTTTAAAACTTAATGCTGATGGATAACAGTTTTTTGTAATGCACACATGATTGGATTGACACAAATAATGTAGTGAAAGATGCCAATGGAAAGTTCTATAAGCTAAGACAGGCTACCATATTAGATACTAACTGAAAAGCAGAATAAGTAACTGAAAATCTGCTGAATCAAGGTGTTGATAGTAATAAATATTTTTCTTTTATATACTCCTCCTTGGAGAAAAGGATGTCAGAAATCTAACTGCAGAGTAGTGCAATGTTTAAAGCACTGAATATTTGAAATTGAAATTCTGAAAATGAATGGACCCCGAGTCTCTATACATTCCAACAGATGAATAAGGAATTGTCCACACCTCATTCCTTCTGCATCTCGTGTGATCTTTCCTAAATGCTGTCCATTCAAGCATAGTTCTAATAGCATGTTCTGTTGTTGTAAAGCATATGAAGTTCTTTGAAGGAAATAATTCTATTATTATGTACTTGATTATAAGTTATCAACATTTACAGCCCTAAGCATCTACCTCAGAAGTTGTTAGAGGCACTGAATTCCAGATTCCAAATGACTAACAGTGCATTAAATCTAGAATATTGTTACCTTTTAATCACATTTTTGCAGTATATGTGAATCAAAGTTGAATGAAATATTTCATTTTCATCACAACGTGATTCTGCTGTCTGACATTAATATGAGGTCAAATAAACACTGTGTGGGAAGGAAATAAAACCAAGTTTTATGTCTGAAAGGGCAGTTGTATTTCTCGAATGTTCTGAATGTCAGCTTTTTGATAGAAAACTAATACAATAGCAAGGAGTGTGTACATATGCCAGCTCGAGTTGTCTTTTGTATTCATGAAAAAGTTTAATTTCTTTGAATCCTTTGTGTTTTCTATTCAGCAGTATCTTCTGGCATTTATAATGTTTCTCTTAAACTGCAGTTAATGAAAGGCTCTGAAAGGTCAGTCATTCTTTACCATTTAAAATAAAATAAAGCTAAGATAATACATATTATTTAATACAATGGAATTTTATGTTTCATGCATGTTTTTGAAGGTGAATTTCTCTTAAAGTTTTGGTATAATATGGTTTTGGGTAGAAACTTCTGAGTGAGTTCAACTTAAAAAAAAAAAAGAAAAAATATTATGCTTAGTGTCCTAATAATACAGAAGACTTAAATACTGAGTTCCATTATATCTTATGACAATGGCGAAGTTCTCATTCAGAGGTATCTAGATTAATGCTGTTATCCTGTGACATACATGTGGTAGCAATTGAAATCAAATGTTTAAAAGCATATGAGTAAACTAATATTAAATAGCTGAGAATAGGCAGTATTCTCTTTGTAATGCCAAACTCTTTATTTAGTATTTGCGATAATAAGAAATAAACGTGAACTTTAGTCTTAGACTTTCCGCAGGAAGTTTTGTTTTATGATTTCATTCAGTGCCCACAGTTATTTTTGATCAAAAGCTAAGGCTGCCGCTCTTCCTTGCTAAAATGGGTCATAGTGCTCAGCAGATTTATCTGGCGCTCTTTGTAGGGTTACTTTGGAATGACCTGAATTTTCTATACTTTAGTCCTGGATGTGCAACGTACCTATTTTATTTTTGCTACGTGTTCCTAAAGAACTCAAGTCATATTTTTCAGTGCATTGAGTAACAATTTTCTTTGGGATGATGCTTCTAGATTGAACTAGCATTGTTATAAACATTTGCTTTAACTTAAGTGAAACATGGGAAAAGTTGACAAGAGTAAAAGTAGTTGCAACTTCCAGTAGTTCACAAGACAGCACACTTCTCTTAGAACATCTGTCTCCAGTCCTCTTATGGCTTAAAGATTTGATGCTGCGTGAGGCACTACTATTTTCACTTCCACTTCAGAGTTCACCATAGATTAGCACACATTTACTTCAAGGTTGCCCAGTTCCTAAATTATTTTTGTCCTAAATCTTCAGACAAGATGATACTTAACAGAAAAGAGAGTTTAGTTTTACAATGCTGATCCACATAGAATCATAGAATCACCAAGGTTGGAAAAGACCTAAAAGATCATCCAGTCCAACCGTTCACCTATTCCCAATAGCTCCTACTAAACCATGTCCCTCAACACAACATCCAGTCTTTCCTTGAACACCCCCAGGCTCGGTGACTCCACCACCTCCCTGGGCATCCATTCCAGTGCCTGACCACCCTTTCTGAAAAGTAATACTTCATGATGTCCAGCCTGAATCTCCCCCTGCCGTGGCTTGAAACCATTCCCTCTGGTCCTATCACTGATGACACGAGAGAAGAGGCCGACCCCCAGCTCACCACAACCTCCCTTCAGGAAGTTATAGAGAGCAATGAGGTCTCCCCTCAGCCTCCTCTTCTCCAGGCTGAACAACCCCAGCTCCTTCAGCCTCTCCTCATATGGCCTGTGTTCCAGACCCCTCATCAGCTTTGTTGCCCTCCTTTGAACACGTTCCAGGGCCTCAATATCTTTCTTGCAGTGAGGGGCCCAAAAAACTGGACACAGTACTGGAGGTGCGGCCTCACCAGTGCTGAATATAGGGGAACAACCACCTCTCTGCTCCTGCTTGCAACGCTGTTTCTGATGCAAGCCAGGATGCCATTGGCCTTCTTGGCCACTTGGGCACACTGTCGGCTCATGTTCAGCCGAGCATCAATCAATACCCCCAGGTCCATTTCCTCTACGCAGTCCTCCAGCCACACCGCCCCAAGCCTGTAGTGTTGCCTGGGGTTGTTGTGGCCGAAGTGCAGGACCTGGCATTTGGCCTTGTTGAAACTCATCCCATTGGCTTCAGCCCAGCTCTCCAGCCTGTCCAGATCCCTCTGTAGGGCCTCGCTACCCCCAGGCAGATCCACACTTCCACCCAATTTGGTGTCATCTGCGAATTTACTGAGGGTGCACTCAATGCCCTCATCGAGGTCATCAATAAAGATATTGAAGAGGACAGGCCCCAGCACCGACCCCTGGGAAACAGGGGTCTCAACTGATACTATAACTTGCAAGGTATTTGAAGACAACAGTATATCAAGTGCTTTTTTTTTTACATGTTCTTCAAAAACACAGCATTAAGAATTTTTATTTTGCCTACAGAATTAAGTAAAAGAAAAAAATTTCTATCATAGATAACCCAGTAGGCAAAAATATTCCCAAAACCCAGGAAAATGTTAGTCTATATTCTCACATGAGCCAGATAAGCTCTGGGAGCACAAAGGAGCTATTGAAGTTGCCCCCAGCCACAGAGCAGCCTCACAGTGTGCTAGCTAGGGGCATAAACTACTGCTTTTCAAAGGAATAGTGATGTGAATCCCTTTGCACAGTGCTGATGCTCACCTTTCCTTGCACTTGCAGATTGGACTATATAGCAATAAGGTGTGGAGGGGGGCTGTTAAATGCTAGATTTAAGGTTTTGGCATAGAGTAACTTTTTCTTTATTTTTATATATATATTTCAGGTGTATCCTACTTTCTAAAGGTAGATGATTGGGTGTCAAACCATCCTTTTAACTTGAACTAATGTATTTTTTTTTTAAAGCAAAACTGAAGGTCATATAGGATGTAATTGGTTTTGAGCTTTTTTTCTTAATTAGGATTTCAATACTTATAATTGTTTTCATTGTTCTTAAAGCAGAGAAACAACCATGAGTGGAAAGAAAAGTTTTAGCAATCCCTAGTTATTTCTTTGAATAAAGACTGAGATAGAAGGGATTTAATCTCATCCTCTTTCATTATTGCTTGTGAAATGAGGTGAGAATATGTAATCCTCATACTTACAGCAGTGGCTCAGTCAGGACACTGCAAGAACCAATTGTTACAGTAATTGAATTTCATCAAAATTTATGAATGCTCTTCAATAATGTCAAGTTTATTGAAATCCGAACTAAAGAAACAGAACAATATTTTGAATTATGACTTAAAGAATTGTAATATATACGACTTGGAGCACTATTATTAAGAAGAAAACATAGTATACTTCACAGGAAATTAGTTTTCTAACTATTTGTGCTATTGTGAAATGCTAATGCAGGTAGTCATTTGTAAGGAATATTTTTCAGAATTTATCTTCAGTGCATTATCCAACACATTAAAAGAAGATCAGTAAAGACTTCCGTAACATCACAATGGCAATGAACAAGGGTAACTGAACATAAAACTTGAAATCCTTTCTGTTACAAACTTCTGGTGACAGGCTGGGCAGTTCATTGTGCTGCTATACAACAAGAAATCTGAAAAACCTGAAGAACTATGGCGTGGTTTCCATACAGCTTGTTCTTGTTATTATTAGCTGTTATGATTTACAGTGTTGGATGAAGGAGGAAGAAGACAAAAGATGAAGTGTTGTGATAACCTGTAGGATCAGCTGGAGGGATGGATGGCTTCGAAGAGAGGAAGTGTATTTAAGTACTCCTTTAAGTCCTTCATAGACCTACATATAAAAGCCACACCTTTAGACATAAAATTGAATGCAAGTATAGAAGCATGTTTCAGCACGTAGTGCACAATCTGGCATATGCTAATACTTAAACCAACACATTATGAACATAATGCAGTAGGAATTTGCACTGGCAAGTGACTAGCAAGTGGCACTGAGTGGATCAGATAAGTAATCTCTGTACTATCCCTGCATTGATTTTATGCTCCTGTACCCTGTTCCACCTACTGCACTTCTGTTCTCTGTCCCTTATACCATATTTTTGCATGTCACCTTTCTAGAGTAAAGGCTAGAATTTGGCATCTGTATCTCTTTAAAAACTGAAACTTAATTGCATTATAACGCCAGTTGCAATATGGCTTCAAGTGGTTGTTGTGTTAGTTAGATTTCTTCTGGAACAGCAACAACAACAAAAAAATCCTGTACTGAATGAAAATGAGTTGTTAAAGAAATGTGAAAATAATCAAATGAAGGAAAACTAACGAAAAAAGTTCACAGAGCAGAAATCTGAAGAAAATGAAGTTGTTGACATAAGGAACCAGTGCTACAGCTGAAGCAACAGTGCAGAACTACTTTCTTCAAGAAGTGTGGTAATTGGTAAGTGAAAGGGATTTTTGTCAACATCCTCATGCTCTGTTTTTCCTCTTCCTTAAATGTTTGGTAATTAAGAGTCCTACTATTTTTTTATTTTTTATTTTTTTGTGTGTGTGTGTTAAAACCCACATTTTTGTCAAAATTTCTAACAAAGTAACAATACTGTCGGGCCAAGATCAAATTATGACATAGGATACAAATATAGATCTCATCTGTTTTTATTTTGTGTTATTTTTCTTTTTAATTAGATGAATATTGTAATAGAGAAATCTACATTGTGCCATGGTAACCAGTGTGTTCTCAGTCACTGTTTGCCACAGTATTTGTCTGGGAACTGGATTATTTTGTCCAATTGATTACCTGTTATAATTTAGCAGTTACCTACCAAGCAACTGACCTTTTTCAATAGGACGATTTGAACTATTCCTCATTTCAATGAAATGCAGCATGATGTCATCTTTGTTTTTTGTTACTACTCCACAGTTTAAACTTAAAAAATATCCTTATGTTGGAAGGTAATTACAAGAACGTGATAAAAATAGTCAGGATCGTGTTTAAATTTGGTTCTTTATATTGAGGGGGATGTGAGAAAACTTGCAGTAGTGAGTGTTTTGAAAATAGGCAATGATGAACATATGACAGTTTGGAATACTGAGGACTGTATATGCTTAGTATATAATTATCAATTCTAATTAAATACTTTTTGAAGAAAGTTTTTGACAGAAACCTAACACTGGAACATTTAATACGTTACAACTCTCCACCCTCTGCTATACCAGGGGAATTAACAGTAGGGTTATGGCGACTTGAGGATTTGATTTCTTACAGGTATGTTTTCAGTGATGTGAGTTCTGTTTTAATATTGTATCATGATGGTGAGCATTTTTAATTCAGTGTTCTGTTTTACTCAGGTGCCTAATAGAAAGTGTCAGAATATTTTAGCAAAGGGCCAAGACCATAAGGGAGACAAAGCCAACCCATAATGGCTGATGTTTTTTCTTAAAAGCTAAGTCCATCTCAGATTAAAGTCCTTAACTAAAAACTACTTTTGTGAATACTTTCAATTCAGGTTCCTAAAAGAATGGTCTTCCCTGTGCATTTTGCCTGGAGGACAAAACACATTCTTGCTCATACAGCAGTGTCATCTTTGCTAGGATTGATGGAAGTTATTTACAGAGGATTAGGAAATCTTGTTCTGTTTTACCAATAAACAGTGTTACATTATCACATTTCAATAGCTAATTCTATTTCTATACCTTTTTCCTTGAAAATCAACATGATTTTCAGAGGGTAAATAATTACATGGCATTTATAATACATTAACTAGATTTAAAAAAAATAATCCATTGGGTGCTTATTTTCTGAGGGAGAAGTCTAGAGTATCTGCACTTCCCTCATGGTATTTCAGTATAAAGATTTTTAGTGCTGCTATTAATCAAATGCACTCTGGTAGTTTGTGTTCCTCTTAATTGAGTAGAATTATATAGGAGCATCGAAAACATTCTTAAAGGATAGCAGAGTTAGCTGAAGAAAACTCGTGCTAGAATTAATGCTGCTGAATATGGAATGAGTTTAGATAATTTTTTGTTAGAATATCAAGATGGCACACAAACAAGTGCTATTTTTTGTGTGCATACAAGGAAATAAGAGAACATTGATGTTTCTTGAAATAGAAAATCTCCTTTTCTTTTTTTTCCTGGAAAATACCTTCTGTCCCGTTTTACAGACTGAAATTAAATAAATATTTATTTATTTACTGCAAAATATTTAAAACTATGTATACAGAGGTGATTGCAACACTGTTCTAAGATCTTAAATCTGATATTTTACCTAAGAAGCCAAATTTATTTTCACTGTAGTAATAAGTGTTGCTTCTTCAGAATTCACAGGAGTTCCGGGGTATCTTTTGTAGTGGTCAGCTTTCTATTAATGTTCTTTTCTGTTTTGTTTTGTTTGTTTTTTATCAAGTTTGTCATCTTTAGCTCCCAAACTCTCCATGGAACACAAGTTTTTTACTCTTCTCCCTTAACTCTATAAAGTACAGGCAAATTTATTTTTTTCTAATGCATTTCTGTTTTTAAATAGTGCTTGCCAAAAAACCACTAGAGTTATGATTAATTCCTTTTGTCATAAGAGGGAAAAAAAAATGAAAATAAGCCATGAAAAAGCTGCAGGGTTTTTAAGTATGAATAATTTGCTGATGGTCTAGGGAAGGGATTACAGTGCTGAATACACATATCTATAAATATTAAAACAGATTTTTTTAAAACAAAACTGTACTTCAGGACATGCTTACAACAGCTAAAACAGTTACAGAATGCATTTTGTTCTTCAGACAACTTTCAAGAAAATGTTTCAGAAGAGTCATGTTCTTAAATCAATCTAGCCTAGTTTAATTTTAATCTTCAAAAATTAGCAAGACTTCATTTGGTTTCTAACTTAATGTTTGCAAGTTAACGTATTTCTAGGTTGTTACTGCTCCACTGCAACTGAAGTACTGATTTTTTATTTTTTTTTTTAAATCTGACTAATGTGCTGCATGTATCTCTGTTTCTCCTGTGGTAATAGAGGATTATAGTCTTCTAATTTGAGTGTATCGCTGAATCCTTTGTTTTTCTTCTGTGATGGCCTAACCTATCAAATTCAAAATAAGATTTTTCTATTGTTAGCAGCAGACTCTGACACAGTTTGTACTGTGTATCAGTAATTACAGTGGTGTTGTACACAGAGCAGTTCAAAAGCAACGATAGAAATTTTGCAGAGTTTTCTTGTGAAGCGATGTGTGATAGCAGACGTAGAGTTAGAAAGTAGGAGAAAACAGTCACTGTTGGTGTTAGGTGATTGTGTCACAATATCATGAGTAGGTGTTCGTTTCCATCACGGGATACCAATTTACAAAACAAGTTTTGACTTAAAGCAGACGGATGTTGAGGATATTTTTTGCTAATACTGAAAATGCTTTGTTTTCATAGCCTAAGTTGCTGATGCTTTACTTCTTCGTCCTTCTAAAATTTGACTGATGCCTTTACAATTATGCTAAGACTTAATGCATGAACAGACTTTGTTTTAGAGTTAGGCTGAAGTTGTGAATGTGTGACGTTTGAAAAAGAAAGGCGGAGGAGAGATCTCTATTGTTGAATTTTGCTGCTCTTCCAATTTCTGAACACGGAAATATGTTGCTTGCAAATAGCTCTGAGATCTGTTACGTACATAAGCAGATCTTAACTATGGCTACCTGTTCCAAGATGGTTTTGTGATAGCTATTGTTTCAGGCAATGTGGCAAATACTTTTTTCATCATTCATCCATTCTCTTCACCTGTCTCCCTTGAAAAACTGTTCCTTTGAGTAATTCCATTGGTAAAAATAGGATATTTTTTCCTACTTTACAGCACTACATGTATCATTAATTCTTACAAATGCTTTAAGTAGGGCTCGTAAGGTAATTACAACTTGATTTCAAGATTCTCTGAGTAGATATTTCTCCTGCAAGATTATCATAGTGGGGATTAGTTTATGAATAACAGAAGTATATGAGAAAAGAACTATCAAATGGCCTGTAATGCATTGCAAGCCAACTCAGACATGCTGACTTGATAAGAATAGGTTTATCTGAGAGAGATTTATAATATCTCATAATAGAGGGAAAGGACTATTAACTTGACTGTAACTGATGCAGGGCCCCTTGTCACTGCAAGTCACAAACTGAATAAATCAATATTATTGTAAACTTCATCATCTTGTGACTTACACACTGTGACACTCTGGGGTGCATCTTGCTGTAAGGGTGGCAAGAGGAATTTGCTGAGAAATTTGTGATTCTAATACAGTTGTTGGTTAAAACATTGCTATGCAGATTCCTAGCATCCAGCATCCGTTTGATATCTTGGCCACTTTGACCTTTGTGATGGCCTTCCTCACTTCTCTGATGCTGCTGTTTTCTGTTCTCTTCCTAATAGTGGGCATACATTTCCTGTCTAATGAGCTCATGTTGGTTTCTTTGTTACTTGCATTTCTGTACTTCAGGGTCCCCAACTTCTGTTTCATGCACTTAGTTAGAAGGTTAGAAAGCTCACAAACTAAGTAAAAGTGTGATAAAGGCAAAACACTTCATTTTCCTGCTAACTGTGGCCATACTCTTTAATCTTCAGCTGCATGAATTAAGCTTTTTTAATTTTGCAAGTACCTGCTGTACTGCTTGAGGAACATGTGTTCAGTGTACAATATTGTAAATTAAGTATAGCTTTAGCGTTCTGCACTTCTTTGGTATTGGATTTGTTCACTGTGTTGTTTTCATGATATCCAAAAGAAATGGACCTTGGATAGTTAAGGTGAAGCACACAAAATAATCTCTTATTTTGGTCTAGTTAATAAAAATAATTCATTATCTCCAAGAAAGAGAGACCATAATTACTAAGATGATGCTAAAAGCAGCCATTAAGCTAAAATCATGGGAAGAATGTCAATTTTTTTTTTTTTTTTTTTTTTTTTTTTTTTTTCCAAAGAAGTGTAAAATCTTAGCTGTGGTCATATGTTTTTCATGGTTGTTCTTGTTTTTTTTAATGCAGACTACTAGTCTGATCTTAAACACTGAAGTTAACAGAGTGGTGCCATGAATCTTGATGGTGCTTCTATTTTTCTACTTGTGTATATTGTTCAGTCATTTGGAGCTACATTTTTTGTGGTATGCTGAAATTTACCCACATAAAGACAAACGTACTTCTCCCCACCCAGTGTGTCACTGAGCATGTTTAAGTAACTGCTTCCAGTTAGCAGAACACTGCACAAGCTTTCTGAGTCTATTAACTAAAATTATAGGAATGAAAGATTGTGGTAAAATTCCATGCATCTATAATTTATGCTCAAAATACAGCCTCTTTTCTTCATCTCCACCTTCTGTTTATAATCTCAGTATATAATATGCAGTGCCTCTTAAAAATTGACTTGATAAACAGGTGTACCACAGATGAAGTCTGTTCTGTGTATTCAATTTTGTGTTAGACGT